ATCTTAAAGTGGCCAAGGTTGAGAAACCCTGGTCTATTGCAACCTTCCCTAGAGCCCTGTTTGGCAGATCCCAGTTTATCTTTTGGTGCATTCATGCGCAAAAGCATTCAGTTGCCAAGCTAGCTGATACAAGGCCAGTAATTGAACGGCTCTCCCGTCTTTCAGACTCAGAACTGCTTTGAAAGAGCTTGTGAAAGGTGTTTTTCTGTCTAGGTTGCGGGGGGGGGGGGGGAGAGAAAAAAGGCAAACGCTTCAGTGCTGCAGCCCCAGCTGTACTTGCAGCTGGACGGCTGCCGCTGACGACGACGCCTATGCTTGGAACAGGGTGTGCATCTTTTTTTTTCCAAGAGTATTACTGTAAATTGTACTTTCTGAACCCTCCTGGGAGATGTTAACCGAGGTTCCTCTTCTACTACTACTGCTTCTGTTTGCTGCATATTGAACAGCAGATGGTGGATGAAGGGTATTGATTAGGATCCCCCCCCCTTCCTTTTCTCCCCACGGCTGTTTTCACCCAGCCTTGCTCAACGCCAGCAGCGGGGGCTTAACGTCACGCCGGGTTCCTTTTGTGCAGGTCGGTGTTTCGAAACTCTGCACTAAACGCTCCTCGGATGTCGCGTTTGCTCTGGCTTCCGAGCTGCCGTGAGCAGCCCTTCAGGTACAGGTGGGCAAAGTGGTGCTGCGTCGGCACCGATTCTGCCCGGGGTTCTTTAGCCACTTCAACCTGGACACTTCATCGGTTCTCATCAGCGGTGTGAATAGCCAGATGTGATTTTGGCTCGGTGTTTGCCAGCTACAGGCCTGTTGCTGAACCAGTTTCAAGCAGGAACTGGTGGGGAGGGAGAGACCTATAGCCAGAATGGCCGACGGGCACCCAGTTGGCACTTAGGGCTCCTGAAGGGCATCCGGCTGGGGAAAGACTCCGTTGAGGACAACTTTCTCTGCCTCGTTCTCCTTCAGATTCCCTCTAGATTTTTCTGACCACTTTCCACTCGTTCTTCCTGCACCCCCAACTGCGTTTGGAAGCCTTTCATGCGTTCACAGAGCGGCCGGCCCTGGTTCAGGGCCCCTTCCCTGGGGTGCGGTGCTCCGAGCAGTCTAAAGCAGAAGGGACGGCGTTCTCCAAGGGACTAGCCTTGGGGAATCTCCCAGTCTTCCTGCAGGGGTCCCCATTTGCTCTCAGTCACACTGGAGAATGCAACCGTTGGCACTCTGCCTGGCCCGGGTGGCAGAGTGTCACATATCAGCATGCCCTTGTCGTTTTACTGGAAAGATGATGTAGCTGAAGGCAAAGGGGAGGTTCCCCCAGGCCAGGCTTTGATAGTAAAACCAAAACTAGGTAGCGTGTGTCAAGCGCTGCGGGCAGAGATTTCACGGAGCAGGCTCGCTCTTTTGACCTAGAGTTTTTGAAGGGTGGAAAGCTGGCACCGGGAGTCCTTTTTCTTATCAGTCCAGCCCCCGCTCTCCAGGACGTAAACTGGCTACTGTTTGTTCTGGTTTGCGTAAGCTGAGGTGGTGTCTTTCTCTCCTGTTGAAGGAGAACTTGTCAAGTGGCTGGTCCTCACAGTTGCGGGAGGGGGGGAGCTATGAGTAAGCTTAGGCGACCGATGTGTGGGCAGAAGCATTTAAAAATAACCTAGGAGCCTTAAAGCAGTCGTGGTGGATCTGACCAAGCCCATCTCAGCCCAGCCTCTGAGACGCCAACCAGATGTAACATTGAGTCTTGAAGACTGGTAGCCCCTAATGGACCTGTCCTGAATTTATCCAGTTCCCAGGTTATCCTCCCTGGTTTAGGGAGAGACAGGATGTCCAACATAACCAGTTCCTCCCTAACAGAGAGCCCCGTGATTTTTTTTTTTAAATGAGGGATGCAAATTGTATCAGCTCTAGGAAACCTCCTGAAATAGCAGCATTTCTGTGCTGTGCAATTCTTTTTTTTAAAAAGCATAACAGTTATGGTGAACGTAAATCCACATTCCCCAACCTGTCACCATCCAGATCAGCTGGGATAGTGAGGGGTCTCTTTTTTCTTCCTGTCCGTAATCATTCAGATGCTTTCCCTTTCAAGTGTGAGGACTAGCCTCTTGGGGAGTACAGTACATTACTGCAAGTGACTAAGGCAATGGTGGTTGGGAATTTTGGAAGTCACACATCTGGAGAGCCGCTGATTAGGGTAGGGTGTGAGGGCAGAAAAGGCAGTTTAGCTGGTCTGATCCTTTTGGGGCATTTGCTTGACTAGCAGCTGGTAGAGATGTGTTAAAATATTTAATTCTGAATCCTTCCAAGCATCCGTTGTCAATTTCAGTGAAATACAGTCATCCTTTTTTGAAAAGTGTAAAAAGTTATAATATACATACAGGAAGGCGTAGTCCTTATATATGAAATTTTGATTGTTGTATTGTGTTCTTTGTTCTTCACTTTCTTTTTTCTTTTGCTATATTTTTTTGTTTTGTTTTATTAAATAAAGTCCCCCCCCCCCACCTCTGCAGTCACAGGGCAAAATGCTTTCATAATGGCGTCTCTAACCTGATGATACTTTTTTTCTCTTTATAGGCAATATTTTAATACCCCTTCGAATTTCTATACAAATTCCATCAACGGGCAGCCGTTCTCGGATTCCAACTTCGCACCTCAAGGCCTTGCTGATTTCTTACCCAGAAATGGCGATTTCCCTCAGGTAAGACCAAACTTTTCTTCCTTTGTGAAGGTGAACCTCTGTTGAAAAATGTAGGTCTTACGACCCTGTAGGTTTCTCCCTGACCCGCATCTCTCTGATTTTAAAAGAGGAAAACGATGATAGGGAAGGAATGCTTGAGATATGAAGTCTGGCTGAAAACACGATCTGTGCATGTGATCTGAAGATGGGTTTGGGTATGTGGGTAAAAAAGAGGGGGGGGTGGAAGGAGAACCCTGATCCTAGTCATCAGCCGTGCCCGCTGTCCTTCACTGTTGGCCATGCAGATTGAGCTTGAAAGGCCACATTTTCCCCACCCATGGAGTGCAAATTACCAACGGATGTTTCTGACACCTTAGGTGGCCTTTTCCATTTTTTTATTTTTTGGAGGAATAAAGCCACATTCTTCAGAAAAATGCATATCTTCTTGGACACTTGTCAGAGCTGCAGCTAGAGGGAGATGGCAGGAAAAATTAGTAAAAAAG